TTTTTTTAGTAAGTAAAGTATGACCAACTAGTCTTCCAACTAGCCTTATAAGACCAAAATCCAACTTCCAAGTCAACTTTTCGTGTGTATATATTCAAGCCCAAATACTTTAATTACTTTGCGTGGAAATATTTGATTTTGAACCACTAAGAATTGTTAACGTAGTCAAAGCAATCTCTCGTTAATTTTATTTGTCAAAAAAAGGACTTGAGTCGATTGACTTTTTCATCGCTAAATCAATCTTTTTAAATATCAACACTATAATTAATTCTTGAACCCCTAGCTACCGTATACACAGTGGCTTACCGTAATATAGTAGGGCGGAGCCACGAGGGACAAGAAAAAATAAAAAAAATTATCGAGGTAATTCACATGCGTATATTAGTTTATGATTTTCATATGTGTTTTTAAAGATGCACTCTCATGCACAAAGATTTTCGATTTAGGTTTGTTTGATAAGCAATCCTGAATGCATGTAATAATAAATGAAATTTGGAATTTTTTTTTATTCTCAATACTATTTATCTCAAAAGGTTTCACTGGTGTCCCTTTAAAACTCCAAAAATAAAAAGTCAAATGTACTATTCGATATTCCCGATGTGAATCGAGAATATATTATTGAAAAAACTATGGACCCCTCACAGGTTGCGAAAGCCAGCCTATTGCAAGATGGATGTTTCGCTTCGACCATCTCTCATTGCCTTTCATGATCCTTTAGAGTAATTTTAAATATATTTAATGCAATCATATACCTAATAAAGGTGAAAAATATATTTGTAATCTACTAGCTTTCACTGTCTTTCACTTTTCTTAAACATTAATCAATGTTTAATTAATAGATATATATTAGACAAGCATCAGTCCAATTATATACTAAGACCCAAACATATCGAGACCATAACAAAATCTGATCCACCACTTGGTTCAATCAGGAACAAGGTGACCCAAGCACAGGTCCACCAATTGGCTTTTTTATTTGAATATTTCAATTCTTTTAATTAACCCCTCTTTTTTAACGTTCAAGTCGAGTTTAAAAACAAGAATGTAATAAATAAGTGACACTATAGAAAGTAAACATCGTGCATAATTAACATGTTATGTGACGTACCATGAGATATATTGCCGATGCAATAAGGAAAGTCCAATAACGGCCGAGAAGAGCATCGGCAACATATGCACCCAAAATAGGCGTCATCCAAACAGTGCCTACCCAANCTTTCATGATCCTTTAGAGTAATTTTAAATATATTTAATGCAATCATATACCTAATAAAGGTGAAAAATATATTTGTAATCTACTAGCTTTCACTGTCTTTCACTTTTCTTAAACATTAATCAATGTTTAATTAATGGGTATATATTAGACAAGCATCAGTCCAATTATATACTAAGACCCAAACATATCGAGACCATAACAAAATCCGATCCACCACTTGGTTCAATCAGGAACAAGGTGACCCAAGCACAGGTCCACCAATTGGCTTTTTTATTTGAATATTTCAATTCTTTTAATTAACCCCTCTTTTTTAATGTTCAAGTCGAGTTTAAAAATACGAATGTGGTAAATAAGTGACACTATAGAAAGTAAACATCGTGCATAATTAACATGTTATGTGACGTACCATGAGATATATTGCCGATGCAATAAGGAAAGTCCAATAACGGCCGAGAAGGGCATCGGCAACATATGCACCCAAAATAGGCGTCATCCAAACAGTGCCTACCCAATTGGTGACATTGTTAGCTGACTTAACTGTGCCCTGATGCAGTTTCTTGGTCAAGTAAATGATGAGATTGGAGGATATCCCATAATAGGCCATTCGCTCAAAAACTTCATAAACTGTA